TAGTCAAGTATAGAACACCGCCATATACCGACTTGATAGTAGCATTTAATCTCTTACTATTAGTCAAGTTTATTAACCACAACCGTGCATTAATAAAGCAAAGTTACTTACTTGTAAAACCATCAACGATTAACCATCGATTCGTTGATCGTTTCTAGTAATAATTAATGTTGGAGCGTTAACTAATCGTCACTTAGCAACCCTCTAACATTAATATAGATTGAGATTAAGGGAAGAATTAATAATCAAGAGAAGAAGTTAAGAAAATAACTCACAACTTTAATAATCAACAAGCTTCAAGAGCAAAACCAAGAAATGGAAGTTTAGTTCCTCATTTGGAGACTAAACATAGCTAGAAAAATATAAAGAAAAGCTATTCTAAACTGAGCTTAAGAGTATGGAAGAAGGAATGATGAAAAGTGAAGCAAAATGGGGTTATTTATACGTATTTTCAAGACCTATAGCCAGATACCCGGCCGGGTATTTGACATACCCGACCGGGTATTTATCAAATCAGATCTTTTTCCCATGTTCTTGTGTTCTTCTGCACGTTTGTTTGCCCGAAATTACTTCATACCCGACCGGGTATAGGGAATACCCAATCGGGTATTTGCTATTTTCGTAGCAAGTTCCTCTGTCAGTTCATACCCGACCGGGTAAAGGTCATACCCGATTGGGTTTTGCATAAAACTCAGGTTTCCTCATCCTTCTTGCTTCCAAACCTATCCTAAATTTATAGCTCAACTAACTACAACTAACAACAAACAATAAAATGCTAAAAAAATACGATTACAATCAAATACAAACTGACAACCACAAACTTGCATAAATATTAGTAAATAAACATTACAAACAATGATAAAAATGTATACTTAGGCACTAACGAGTAGTGCCTATCAAACACCCCCGCACTTGAACTTTTACTCATCTCGAGTAAATCAAAACCTTTTCCATGAAGTTTCCAAACCAAACATAGTAGCAATTAAAATCATCCACAAGTGTTTTTTTCCGATTATCAACATAGAAATGTTTTAATGATCACAACATATGAATGAAAGATCTTCAATACCATTGGATTTCTCTTCTTTTGCTCCGCTTGTATATACCTTTAGGATCCTGCAAAGATAAAATAAATACTTTCTCTCATTCTCTCATTTTTTCTGGGTGCCCTTTCAGGTTTTCATCCCAGCTTCCCATATTTTTTTTCTTTTTTTTTATCCTCACAAACTCACTCTTCTTTTTGCTTTTATTTTCCCTAAGTTTCCCTTTTTGAGTTTTCAACCATGACCGTGCATTAATAAACCGAAGTTACTTACTTGTAAAATCATCACCGATTAACCATCGGTTCGTTAATCGTTTCTAGTAATAATTAATGTTGAAGCGTTAACTAATCGTCACTTAGCAACCCTCTAACATTAATATAGATTGAGATTAAGGGAAGAATTAATAATCAAGAGAAGAAGTTAAGAAAATAACTCACAACTTTAATAATCAACAAGCTTCAAGAGCAAAACCAAGAAATGGAAGTTTAGCTCCTCATTTGGAGACTAAACATAGCTAGAAAAATATAAAGAAATGCTATTCTAAACTGAGCTTAAGAGTATGGAAGAAGGAATGATGAAAAGTGAAGGAAAATGGAGTTATTTATAGGTGTTTTCAAGACCTATAGCCGGATACCCGACCGGGTATTTTACATACCTCACCGGGTATTTATCAAATCAGATTTTTTCCCATGTTCTTGTGTTCTTCTGCGCGTTTGTTTGCTCGAAATCACTTCATACCCGATCGGGTATTTGCTATTTTCGTAGCAACTTCCTCTGTCAGTTCATACCCGGCCGGGTAAAGGTCATACCCGACCGGGTTTTGCATAAAACTCAGGTTTCCTCATCCTTCTTGCTTCCAAACCTATCCTAAACTTATAGCCCAACTAACTACAACTAACAACAAAAAATAAAATGCTAAAAAATATGATTACAATCAAATGCAAACTAACAACTACAAACTTGCATAATACTAGTAAATAAACATTACAAACAATGATAAAAATGTATACTTAGGCACTAACGAGAAGTGTCTATCAATGCACTAAAGGGGATCGGGGCACGACCTTTTGCATTCCTTCGGTCTGGAGACCGGTCATATAGTTGTCGCATTGTTGATTGGATCATATGTGCATGCGAGCTGTTTAGACATCAATGCTAGACAACAAATGTACGAGAGGGGTTCGGGTCGCGAGCTCTCGCATACCTTTTCGACCCGGAAGCCGGTCTTACAATTGCCCTGACCGAGCAGCTAACCCCAGACTTAGAAAGTAGTTTGATCATTTCATTGCCCGAGAGCTGAGCCGAGGTCGATTAAACACCGAGAGCGGGGGCGTGATGTATATATACTCTTTTTTTTTCTTTTCTTATTTAGCCGCCGTCCGTTTAATCCAAGTGAGGTCGGACATTATCAAATTCAAGATTGGAAAACAAAATATATTTTTTTAAGTAATGAAAAAATTTGAGAACTTGAGGAGTTGCTCCGAATTCCGCACTTGATCTACAATTTGTGATGATCGACTACTAGAATGTGAGAGAGCTGATATGCAATCTACACTTGATCAACGAGCTTGCAGTGCTCCGCTCATACGATTAGAGACGGTTCCCGGTGCTCCGCACTTGATCCGCGAGCTTGTAGTGCTCCGCTCATAGAATTTGATAAGGTGCCCTGCGCTCCGCACTTGATCTACAAGATCGTAGTGTTCCGCTCATAGATTTTTACCAAGTGTACTTCAATCTACACTTGATCTAGAAGCTTCCCCGCCTTGGTCTTCAACCCTAGTTAGCGTATTTAACTAACTAGGTCTTCAACTTGTACGGAACTTGATCCCCCGTTCCTTCTCTCATGGTTGACCTTGATTTCTTTGACTTCAAAGATGGGTTCCGTAAAAAGCTAACCCCCCTCATACTTTGTATCTTTGTTGATGAAATGGGCTTTGAGAGCACTGCACGGAACTTGATCCCCCGTTCCTTCTCTCATGGTTGACCTTGATTTCTTTGACTTCAAAGATGGGTTCCGTAAAAAGCTAACCCCCCTCATACTTTGTATCTTTGTTGATGAAATGGGCTTTGAGGTCCTCTGCCCGAGCTGCTTACTAGCCTTCGGGTGAACTATTGCACACCTGAAACAGCTCTGCATTGCCAGGTTTGTACCACTTTGACAATGATTCTTCCATGCCTTCGTGTAATAGCTTCGCGTTGTAAGATCTGTTCCCTTTTAGGAACAGTGCTTTCATAGCTTCGAGTCACAGCTCCGCGTTGCAAGGTCTGTACCCCTTGGCAACCGTGCTTCCACGCTGCTATAAATTTCTGCGTCATAGGGTGTCTTCGTATTATCCGAAGGATGTCTCCATGTCCAAAAGAATGGTGTGGCTTGAATGATTATGCACCTCTTCCTGTGGCGTCAGCCTCTAGAACCCTTGAGCCAAAGCTTCTAGAACGCAGGTGGCTTCCCGGAACGCTTGCACGCCAACATGAAGTTGTGTCAGCTTCGTGCATGGAGAACGATAGGGCTCACATCTAAGACGATCACGGGCGGATTGCCCGTTACGACCGTGACCTAGTTTACCCCTCGAGTCTCCAGGATTCGACACTTGATTCCAGAGATCTTCTGTCAACATCATCACCTGGCTCCTCACGTGATGGTCGTTGTGTTTTCCATACTGCTCGATGTGAATGAAGACTTCCTGTCAGTGTTCTCGTCTTCTGGGTCATCACGCTTCCCTTTGTCTTCCTTCTTTCCTTCTTTCCTTGTTCTTCATCCTTTTTCCTCTGCTCGGCGTTTTCTGCCTCAGCCTGGCGGTCTGCACGACCTTGTGGAATGGATTCGCGTTGCAAGGTTTGTAACCCCATAGCAACGGTACTCCTGGACCTTCATGATCAGCTCCGTGTTGCAAGGTCTGTACCTCTTTAGCAACGATGCTTCTAAGACTTCGAGTAACAGCTCCGCGTTGCAAGGTCTGTACATCTTTAGCAACTATGCTTCCTTCCTTCCCGGGACGAGTGTTGCCGGGAGGACCTCCTTCCTGGCTGTTGTTGCGTTGCAAGGTCTGTACCCCTTTAGCAATGGTGCTTTCATGCCTTCGAGTAACAGCTCTGCGTTGCAAGGTCTATACCCCTTTATCAACGGTGCTTCCAGGACTTTGAGTAACAGCTTTGCGTTGCAAGGTCTGTACCCCTTTAGCAACGATGTTTCCTTCCCAGAACGAGTGTTGCCGGGTGGGCCTCCTTCCTTGTTGCCGCTGCGTTGCAAAGTCTGTACCCCTTTAGCAACGATGCTTCCATGCCTTCGAGTAACAACTCTGCGTTGCAAGGTCGGTACCCCTTTATCAACGGTGCTTCCAGGACTTTGAGTAACAGCTCTGCGTTGCAAGGTCTGTACCCCTTTAGCAACAGTGCTTCCTTCCTTCCCGGGACGAGTGTTGCCGGGAGGGCCTCCTTCCTGGCTGCCGCTGCGTTGCAAGGTTTGTACCCCTTTAGCAACCGTGCTTCTGTGCCTTCGATTAACAGCTTCACGTTGCAAGGTATGTCCCCCTTTGACAACAGTGCTTCAACATGGTATGAGTGAATGGTTCTGGGATGTGGAGGTCAGCCGTGTATGGCTCTCCCCCGATGACCCTTCTCCTCAGCTCGTCCAGCCTTAATTAGCATCAGGTCTTCCACCGCATCAAGTGTCGGTTCTGCCCGTGCGCATCCAGCACAGAGCTGAACTTGCACAGAAGACTCTGTAACCCTCTCGCGTGCATGAGGTCGAGATTCAAAATGGTGTCCATCCGGGGAGCTAGCCCGCCTACCCGGTCAGCGGGAGTGATGAGACGAATTGTCCCCTCTTTCCTAGGACGTGTGTTCCCAGGAGGACCACTTTCCTGGTTGTCGTGGCTGCTCAACTTGCCGGGACACATACTCCATTCAGGATTCATATGTGCTAATATATTTGTGTTGGTACGTCTCCTGACGAGCCAGCACGCCTACCCGGTCGACAGGGGTGATGAGGCCAATCGTCCCTCCTTCCCGATATGAGCATTGCCAAGAGGGCCTCCTTTCTGGCTGTCTTGGCTGCTCAACTTGGCGGGACACATACTCCATTCAAGATTCGTCTGTGAAGGTATATTTGTGCCAGTACGTCTCCCGACGAGCCAGCCCGCTTACCCGATCGACGGGAGTTATAACCGGTTACAACCGGATTTTAGTTTCTTTTGAAAACCTAATTACACTAAGGCACTAAGCGTCAGAAATTACAGAATAGAAAAGTCCAACCGGCTAGTGGGCAAAGCAGAGCATAGTCAGAAATCCTTAGACCTTAGCCGCTGACACCCGAGAAGAAAGCTCACCAGAGTCGGCGAGTGGCTAGAGTGCTAGACGGTGGCAGATCGGCAGTAACCAAGATTCCCAGGTTTCATCTCCCAATCTCCCATTCTTAAATTGTTTATCTCGATTCAGAACTAGAGTCTTTGAAAGAATTAATTTGTTTATCTCGATTCAAAGCTAGAGTGTTTGAAAGAATATGATAAGCACTGGATTCCAGTTCCGGCAGTTCGTGCTTAGAATATGCATGATTCTAAGCCATCAACTTCCCCACTTGAAGTTGACGACTCCCGTGTTTGACAATTTAATAATTAAAATAATTTTTATCTATTTTGTGTATAATTAACAAATAGAACATATTACGGAGTATTATAAATTTATACTGTTATATACGAAGAAACAATATTAGTAATACAATGGATAGGTGATGACTTGATGTAAAACAAATCCCAGTAAAGTAATTTACATATTTAATGATTTAACATAGCAGGTATCAACATATTTAACCAAAATAATATATTTTGATGAAACTTTGGTTTATTTCAGGATTTAGGAGTAGTATTTAATGAAGACCATTATTATGAAGTTATTATTGTGAAGTTGTCATAATGATTATGTCACTAATTTTGATCAGGATTATTATTTACTTTAGGATTTAACAAATGGATATGAACTCGGTGAATGATGTACTTTCGGGCAATGTAAGTTTATATTTGATAATGAATCGTGTACTTTCAGTCTCTCAGGCAATGTAAATTAATATTTCAATGTAAATTTGATATTTGAATCATTCAAGTATGTTGACACAATGCATTTGTAATTGCTTTTAAAAACAGGTGTCAAATGATTCTGTTCCATCCTCCCGTCCACGAGGAAAAAAAGATGCATCGTGAATGAACAAAACACGATGGAGTTTCATTCGATGGTGCCTGAAGAAATTGGAGAACAAATGCCATACGAAGGTGCTTATGTTTATGTCCAAAAACAGCCCAAACCCGACCGCATTTACGTAAAGAGAAAGCACAGAAAGAGAGGTGACTACTGGGATCAGTTTTGGGATTATCTTGATGAAGAAAATAATATCCGAGGGGAATGCATTTATTGTGACAGTACTTTTGCCGCGGATCCCAATGTCAATGGCACAACAAACGTCAAGAATCATGCCGCATCTTGCAAAAACACTCCGGCCAATAGACAAAAAAGAGGTAAGCAAGCTCATTTAATTAATAATTTTGTGGTGTCGAATGATGGAGAGAACAATGCATTGAAATATAAAGAAGGTATTAACTTGGAGGAAGTTAGGAAAGGGTTATACCACATGCTTATTATTGATGAGTTGCCATTTAGGTTTGTGGAAAAACTTGGATTTAGATATTTCATGCAAATAGCTTGCCCCTTTTTCCATATACCTATTGTTGCATGTGACTGTTATAAATTTTATCTTGAAGAAAAGGGAAGATTGAAGGAATTTTTTAATCAATCATGTAAGAGGGTTTGTGTGACCACTGACACTTGGACATCAATTCAGAGGATTAATTATATGTGTATGACCACCCATTTTATTGATGACCAGTGGAGGTTACAAAAAAGAATTTTGAATTTTTGCCCTATTCCTAGTCACAAAGGGTCTGCTATTGGTCGGGATGTGGAAGATTGTTTAAATGCTTGGGAGCTAGGTGAAAAATTATTTATTGTGATAGTTGATAATGCGAGTTCGAATGATGTTGCTTGCCTTTACCTGAAAAATATGGTGATAAAATATGGTTGTATCAGTGATGGTGAGTTGTTGCATGTAAGGTGTATTACACATATCATTAATCTTATAGTCTGGGAGGGAATGAAAGAATATGCTACTTGCATTGATAAATTTAGGGCTTTTGTGAGATACGTAAACAATTCTCCTAATAGGTTGATGATTTTTAATCAACAAGTGGAGAGGTTGAAAATAGATTGTAGTTTGTCCTTGATTCTTGATTGTCCTACTAGGTGGAACTCCACATATGAAATGTTGGACGTAGTTTTGAAATACAAGGATGTTTTTGTGAGAGTTGATCTTCCTAGGGAGTTGGAAGATATGGTACGTTTGGATCCCCCTAGTGACGCAGATTGGGAGACGCTAAATTATCTCGTTGTTTTTTTGAAGGAATTTTATGAGTTGACTAAAAATGTGGCGGGCTCGTTGTATGTCAGAAGTAACACTCTTTTCTTCCATATATGTCATACTCTTGATTTGTTGAAAAAATGTGTTGTTAGTGATCAGCTTGCTATGAAAAATATGGCAACTAAAATGAAATCAAAGTATGACAAATATTGGGGGGATATTGAAAAGATGAACAAATTGATATACATGGAAACTGTTTGAAGGTCCTTGATAAAAGTCTAGAGGGGGGTGAATAGACTTTTAAGTCTTTTTTATTAAGTGTTCACTTCCCTCTGAGTGAGTGTAATCCTTGGAACCTTTTGAGAGGTTTAGGATTGGCAGCGGAAGTTTTTATCTTTTTGGACAAACACACTGGGAGTTTAGAAAGAACTGACTTGCAGCACAAATTCTTTCCAAAGGTGTTACAACTTTCCACCAACTATTCTAAGCTCTAGTATGAATATATCATTGTGAACTAGTCTAAGAGCTTAAAGAAATGTGAACGAGCCAAGAGTAAAGTGATAGATTAGCACTTTATCTTTTGCAGGATATTCTGAGTATGATTGCTTTGTTTGCACTTAAGCTCGCTGAATCTTCTTCATCACATTCCTTGGTAATTTATAGACTTTGAGTTTGTTGAATATCTCCTGTTGGCTGAGGAAATTCAATCTTGATCGTTGAAGCATCCACTTGATCTTTTATCTTCAGTATGTCCTCCTTTTGTCTTGTTTGGAGTAGCCTGTGTTGCTAGTTTTGTTTTCTTGTTTGAGCCCATGCTTCCAGTTGTATGTGGTCGTATGGGTTGACTCTGTAAAGAAAAACAGTTTGCAGTCCACTTGTATATAAGAGTATGGGTTGACTCTGAAACATTCTGCAGTTCCACTTGTATATAGGAGTATGGGTTGACTCTGAAACATTTTGCAGTTCCACTTGTATATAGGAGTATGGATTGACCCTGAAACATTTTGTAGTCCACTTGTTTATTTTGTCCCGTGACTCTTTGAGTAAGTGGCAAAAGTATTCAGAATACCTTCAACTTCTATGTTGTAGTTTCGAGCCTTTCTTGTCTAACTCTGAGGTTCTCTGTTGTCAGCACTGAGGTTCTCTGTTGTCAGCACTGAGGTTCTCTGAATTGAGTTCTGAGGTTCTCTATTGTCAGCACTGAGGTTCTCTGATCCTAACAGAATACCTCGAGACTTTCTGTTGCAATCAGACTTTTTCGATCTATTTTGTTGGGATCAGAATACCTTGGTTTCTGTCAATGCTCTTTACTACCTCTGATTCTTTTCTTTGTTACCAGTACTTCTTCTTCAGAGTTCATGATCAAGTGTTTTTGTCTATAAACTATGCATCATCAAAATCTTAGAGGGACCTAACACTGTTCTTGATCCGAACTTTAAGTTGTTTGGAGTGAAGATTGCGCTTGTTGATACTTATGGTGAAAAGAATGCAGAACCTCTATTTGAAAAGATAAACAAATGCGCTTATGATTTGTTTGAGGAGTATAGAAGAGTGTTTGCTCCTCCTGTTGTTATTGATGAGAGTGGGGTAACTAGTAACTCTACAGCAACTTCTTCATCCGTTGGTTCTTCTACTTTGATGAATCTTGTGAAGGATCGGGTTAGACAAATGAGTGGGTCACAACAATTTTCAAGAAGAGAGTTTGATCATTATCTTGATGAAGAAAGAGGGGACGAGGAAGAAAGGGATGTTTTGACTTGGTGGAAACTAAACAGTCCTATATTTCCGGTAGTAGCGCGTATGGCTCGTGATATATTAGCAATCCTGATATCAACTGTGGCATTAGAGTCCGCATTTAGCGCAGGAGGGCGTACTCTAGATCACTTTAGGAGCTCGTTGACTCCCAAGGTAATTTAATGTTATTATTAAGTAAATTAACATCAATATATTTTTAAAAGTTATTTATGTTTTTTATGTTTTTTGTTTTGCAAATAGATGGTGAAAGCGCTTATTTGCGGTCAAGATTGGATTAGAGCTAATTGGCGAAAAACAAGGATAGATGTGGAAGAAAATTTAATGGAATTGCATGAGGTGGAGAAAGGTAAATTTATTTAAATTTGTAAATTTATGTTATGATGTAGTTTGCTTGGTTCTTTTATTTTAAGTATGTTGAAACGTAAAGTTTAAATATGTTGTGGATTATGATATCTTTTTTAATCAAAGTTTTGAAGAACACATAAAAGTAGCAGCAAATAGACATTGATTTTTTCGGGGATCATTCTAGTGTAGGAACAACAAAATAATGGCCATCTTTAGTTAGCCAGTAAGGAAACTATGTATTTGGTTCGTTGAAATTCAGGTTTTCATACTTATGCTCATATTAATTTCGTTTTAATTCGTTTTTAATTTTTGTAGGTGTGGAAGAGGCAAGTTGTATTAGTGAAGAGCTGGTTTATGTTGCTTGAAAGCCTTGAAGTCTTGAATTTGCAACCTTTAATATTCCATAATCCTTTTTTGACATGTTCTGGTTAATTTTGGAAAATTTTAGACGTGCGATTTGTGTTTTGCAAGCATTTTTGAGATTTGTAGACATTTTGTAACTTGTAAACCTTTCTATAAGATTATATTTCTGGAATTTTTAGGCATTGTTTGGGGTATAAATTAGGATTTGTAGAACAAAAATTTGCTGGAAAAACAGGAAACTGGTTTATCCGGACCGATTCCGGTTGTCAAGCGGTTTTCCCGGTTCAGTTCCGGTCTAGAACCGGATATATACCGGTCCGGTTATCGGTTTTGATATTTGGCCAATTCCGGTTCCGGTCCGGTTCAGTCCGGTTTTGGCCCGATGCACACTCCTAGCCTCAATCATGCCACACACTGCGTGCTGTTTCAACTTGTCGGCCAATAGATGAACGACTGAGGCAGTCTAGCGACGCAACGGCGGGGAGGAGGAGCGGGCTGCTGGCGATGACCATGACACCATGTAGCCCTTGACTACTAGTCTACACGCCGACCTGATGACTAGGGTTGTTGCCCCTCGTCGGCACAGTGCACGCCGGCACTAACTGTGCTTCGAGCGAAGCAGAGGGGCGAGCTACAAGCGGCAACCAGAAACTTGGTCCTCTCCATTCATGGCGGATAACCATGGTAGCTCGTCCTGGAGCGACCGGCGTGGCGGCTGCGTGACCAGGAGTGAGGAGGGCGACACTGTAGCGGCCAAAGCTCCGTTCCCAGACCCCGTTGCTCCACCCCTGGGTCTCCAGTGTTGTTCCGGTTGGGGTTGAGGCTGACCTTCATCGTCTCACTCGGGGACACCACAGTATTGCCGGTCTTCCTGTTTACACCCTGTTCTTGACCAGGGCTAGAAAATTGAACACAAGGGCTTGGGCGCGGCTTGACCGGTAGATTTAGATGTGGAATTCTAGGTTTAATTTTTGCTAGACGTGACCCAATAGGAGGCTGTGTATTTTAGATTTCTTTTCATTTTTTGATGAATTCAGACCGATTTTGCTGAATTTTGGTTCCACCGTGAATAATTTTTGAATGATTTTGGGGCAGATCCCACTTAAGTTTTGTTCCGATCTCTCCAAGTTTCTACCACAAATATGAGAGATAACTCTCAATGAAAGCACCAATGTTGATAGAAAATATCCCGGGTAGAGAAACTAGCAGCATTTCAGTATAATGAAAATAGCGTAGGGGAATACAAGAGGTTGGTGGCCTATTTATAGGCGTATACAATATGCCCACCAATTAAGTGCTACATAGGCTTGGCCCGATTTATCAACTAATACTGACGCTAATGGGCCAGCCAACCTGATAAGTAATTAAATAATCCCGGACTAGTATTCGATAGCCGGACTGTGATCTGAGCTTGGTCGGGCCAAAGCTCGGGTGTAACGGGCCGATAGTCTTGGACCCGGCCCATTATCCCAACAATCGTAAGTGCACAACTTTCTCGTATGTCATCTGTCTTGATGGATTTAAGTTGTTCATGAGTTTAACTTGAGTGTTATTTAATGAAGATGAGTATTGGCATGGTCTCATTCTATCTTAATCATAGGTTATTAATTTTCACATTGATTTGTGCTTAATAATCATTTAAGTTTTTATCAATGTCTTATGCAATTACAAAATTATTATTCGATGTATAGGAATGTGATTCGCAGTTGAAACGAATAGATTTGTTCATCACTATTGATAGGGGAACATATATTATCATACAACGGGTTGTACAGTGCATCGTGACATATTAAAAGGGGAGCAAACTGTATAACTGGTGGCATTTTTGTAATTCTAGTGGAAAACCGTGATTTTGGTTAAGTGAACATCAATGTATATATTTTATAGTGTATCATATATATTTTGTTGAGTATGAGAAGTCTAATATTGAGCAACATGATCTCTTCTCTATATCTTCTAATTCACTTTCTCTTTCTTAATTCTTCTTTTATAATTTTGTTTGCGAGGTATAACTATAATCAATTCCTATAAATTTTATTCTGCAAATATAATTTAATATTATACTTTTGAAATATTTTCCAAAAAAAAATTATACTTTGAAATATGCATTGATATGAAAATCGTAAGCTCTGCTATTTAAATATCAAGAAATATTCATTGAGCATCAAGCCTCTTCTATTGAGTTATTAAAACTCTGCAATTGGGTATAAAAATTTCAAAATTTATTGAGCACCAAAACATCTTAATTAAGTATCATGTTCTCTATTATATATTTTACATTGATACTATGCGATCAAATATCTTCATTGAGCATTGGACATCTGCATTGAGCATCGAAACTTCTTTACTGACTATTGTATCCTCTACTATATATTGAACATTGAGACTATGCGATCAAACATCTTCATGGGGCATCAAAACATCTTCATTAAGTATCATGTTATCTACATACTATTAAGCATATAGACTATGTGATCAAACATCTTCATTGAGCATTGGAACTCTGCATTGACCATCAAACATTTCCAGTGAATATCATGTTCTCTACTATTGAGCATTGAGACTACGCGGTAAAAAAAATCATTGAACATTGGAACCGTGCATTGAGCAAAACATCTCCATTGAGTACATTTTCTCTATTGAGTACAAAGACTATGTGAGCAACCTCCAATGTATCTGGTCTTTGTGAGTTGCAGTCTAACATGCGGTGGTGTAATACTCGTGATTAATTTAAAAGGATTAATAGTTCATACCAACAAGATGCATCTCCTTTAAGGGAACTCATCAGCTAAAAACTCCTAGTTAAGCATGCTTGCATGAGAGTAGTCTTAGGATGAGTGACCCCCTGGGGAGTTTCTCAGGACGCACATGAGTGAGGACAACGTGTGCGATAAAAGGCTCGTGGTGGTTTGTGAGGACAGTACTAAAGGTCTCATTGGAAATACAATAAAAGAACAAAGTGTGCGATAAAGGCTCGTGGTGGTGGGGCGTCGCGAAGGAACGGCGGATAACGCAACACCGAAGGATCCGCCAAATACAGAGTTAGGGGCGTCGCCTGACATGCCTGTCATCTTTACGGGTGTCGTGGGGACTCGTTCAGTTGAAACCCATCATGCCCTCTCATGGGCAGATGTACTGATCGGAGATAGCGAAAAGAGGAAGGGCCATGGAGCTGTCTCAAAGGATAAGCACGCTTCAACCAACCATTCCAGCTCACTGGGTGGAAGGTTACCGTGTCCTAGCGGAGGTCTCGGGTTCGAATCCCGCTAGGCACATTTAGGGGAGAGGAGGGAGGTCTTGCTCCCAATGATTCTTCCTACATTCACGGAGTTGCTCAGCGGCTGAGAAGGGAGAGGATGGTAATGAAGGTAGCGGGTTCGTGTGGTGGGAGGAGCAGCCTGAAAGGTGATGTAAGTCCTGCTGGATTCGTCCTTTGGAGCCAGTACTGACGAGGCTGACTATGATCAGATCCGGACTTAACTGTCTAGGGGCTTTGGAGGGTAGTTCATAGACTCCAGGATTATGGGAGCGTAAGCCCCGACACCTGGATTATCAAAAAAAAGGATAAGCACGCTTCTGCAATTGGGAAAAGTCCTTCTTTGGGCCAGGCTGGAATTTTCACAACGGATGACAGAGCAGGTTCATCTATATTAAAAAATAATATTGGCACTCAGGAAAGGATCGTGACGGACGAAAACCGGGAAGATACAAATCAACTATTCAATGTCGGTGAAAGTTACTCTTTCTATGGAGAATAAGGGTTTGACTCGGTCAAAATTGAAAGCACATCTTTTATATTTGCGGAGAGAAATGGAGATGTGGTGCTCCTACAAATCAAAAGATCTATTCGGCATAAAATTCACCTCGAACTTCATCTTGTCCCGCAAATTATCCGGTTCATATCCAAGCTCACAAATACTGCTCAGAAAAATTTTGGCAAAAAAAAGCGATTTGGAGATTTCACGATTTCCGTAGAAATTAATAGAGCGGGCTGCTATGTAAAGATGGCGAAATACAAGGACATAACTCAAGCCTGTTTAAATTCCTTAATATTCTTTCTAATTTTGTAGGGCTCTCAAAGTCGGTGCAGGACGACTCAATATCTCTTCAGCACGGGAGTTTATTAGAAACCGAGGAACCCACATCCATTTCTAAACTGATTTTTAATTATCAAATCAGGGCAGCAGATAGTGAAACCAACCATGTCTTCTCTTCTGGGAAACAACCCATTTTGCCATTGATCCAAGCTTACTCAGATGCCTCAGACGATTTTGATCATGTAGATGACTCACTTTTTACAGATGACTTCTTGGGACATGCAACCGAGAGCGATCGCCGTTCTCCTTCTTCAAAGTTTCACCCTGCCCTAGCCATTTCTAATATCAAAAATTTTATTCCCATAACTCTCAGCCTTGACACCGTGGAATATTCCTCTTGGGCGGAACTTTTCAAAATTACGGCCCGGGCTTATCAAGTCATCGACCATATCATCCCCAACACGGCTGCCTCTACCCACACTCCCGCCTCCCCCACCACCTTGGAACAACGACTGGCACAGGAGGCTGCCGCGGTCGAAGCCTAGGCCCTATGGGATCGCTTAGATGTCGTCGTTCTCCAATGGATTTACGACACCATCTCTCATGATCTCCTCCACACGATCATCGAGCCCGACTCCACGACACACGTGGCTTGGCAACACCTTGAAGATATCTTCCAAGACAACAAGCACTCCCGAGCGGTGTACTTGGAAAATCAGTTTTCCAACACCCGCCTTGATCAATTTCCCAGCATTTCTTCTTATTGCAAGGAACTCAAGGTCTTGGTCGATCAACTAAGCAACGTGGATGCCCCGGTTAGCAACAGCCGGCTTGTTCTCCGCCTCGTCAATGGCCTGCCGGCTCACTTTGCCACCGTCGCTTCACTCATCCAACAAGCCGACCCTTTCCCACTCTTCGCCAGGGCCCGCTCTATGTTGACTCTCGAGGAAGCCCATCAAAATCAACAAGCCGGCAACCCCCCCCCCCCCCCCCCCCCGCAGCCATGCTTCACACCACCCATAACCCACCTCCTCCTCGGCCGCCTGCCCCACAACATCGGTCCGATAACCGCCAGCCTCGCCCGAAAGGCCGCGGTGGGCGCAACCGCCCCAATCCTCTCCCATGTGGCCCCTCTGCCCCGACGAACCCACCCCC